TGATGGCACAACTACTTACCAAGGTAGCTTAAAACTTTTAGAAATACCCAAATAAAGCTCCAATAGTGTGTGCTGGGAATAAATGCATGGAGACAGAATGGTTATGACTAGAAGCTCCAGGAGGGCAGGACACTGTATTGTATGTATTGTTCCCTACGTTGTCCTTGGAGCCCAGGGCAGTGCCTGATACATACAAATAGTAGGCACTCAAAGATATTTGTGAGTAAAATGAATGAAACTGCTTAAACCTCATCAAGTACCTTACATCCTCTAAGATCTTAACTCTCTCTCTTGAAATGGTTGTAACCATTCTCTGTTCCCATGAAGGATTTCTGAAACACTTTCCTTATCCCTCTGCTTAGCAACCTTCTGGGCTTTTCACCTGCAGGATGGAAACCATTTTAGACAAGATCACTCTGTTCCCAGTCTTCCTCACTTATTCAGTCTTCTGGCCACATCTCACTACCTGAACTCTTCCCAGCTTGGTGCCTTTGCCTGCGTTTTTCCCTCTGCCTGGCCTATCCTTTGAACTACGTATTTCCACTGTGGGGAAGCCTTACCCACCGCTCCAGGCTCTTACCTGTGCTGATACCATTCTGGGCTTGCTTTTCTTGAAGCCCTTAGTGCACGACATTGAAACAATTGGTTTCCTTGTCTCCATCACCACACCATGCAGCCCTCAGGAGCAGGGAGTGTGTCTCTGGGAGGCCTGCCAGTGTGCCTGGCAGTCCATAAATGTTTATCGAGGGGAAGCAAATTCCAAGCCAAAGGGTGGCGTATGCTGGGAAAAGCTCTACTGGGTGCTTTTCATTGTAAATGGTTACCACCGTGGACAACTCAGTCTTGATCTTGAATAGGCTCTGGAGATCATCCGGGGTTGTCAAGGCCTGAACGTGGTGGGCTGTGACCTGGTAGAAGTTTCACCACCATATGATCTTTCTGGTGAGTAAGCAAGAAGATGGTGATCCATGGGCAGCTGCTAGCTTAAACTATAGGAAGCTAGTTAGTAAGCAGAAAATGGGGCTGGGGCACAGTGGCTCACGCCTATAATCCCAGCACTTTGGGAGGCCGAGGCGGGCAGATCACCTGAGGTCAGGAGTTGAAGACTGGTCTGGTCAACATGGTGAATCCCATCTCCACTGAAAATATAAAAATTAGCTGGGTGTGGTGGCACACACCTGTAATTCCAGCTACTTGGGAGGCTGAGGCAGGAGAATCGCTTGAACCCGAGAGGCGGAGGTTGAAGTTAGCTGAGATCACAATATTGCACCATAGCCTGGTTGAAAAAGGAATAAGAAATTAAAAAAAAAAAAAAAAAAAACAAAAAAGAAGAAAATGGATGAGTCCCCTTATATGACTCGGGGAACTGGCTGAGCATGCCCAACAGCGAAGAAAACATATCTATTACTGCATACTTACAAACATGAGCTCATTCACCCTAAGAAAACCCCCGGGGAGGTAGCTAAGTATCATTAGCTTGCCCACCAATCAGCAGAAGAGAAAGAAAGCAGTCTGCAGTCTAGTGACAGGGTGACTTAACCAGCTAAGTTCCTGTTTGATAAACATTAATATATGTTCAGATCTTCAAAGGAGATGCCATCCCAATAATTTTAATGTAGACAAGCTTATGGAGTTAGGCCTATCGACCTCAGAAGGTAGATAATAAATACAGTACACATCATTATTATAGGTTCTCCTTTGGGAAAAATCTGTTCTCAGAATAAACGAAGAACTTTCTGAATTTTAAAGTAGGATTTCCAAATGATGCCTGATGGAGGCAGAGAGCCCGGGCAAGCATGTTCACAGCTAGTGGGTCCCTAAGGGATGCACAGACAGGGCTCTGGAAAAGGAGGCACAGGGGAAGAAAGCTGAGGGGTCCCAAGGCTTGGTTCAGGGGGTGGTCTGTGGGGTATTCATGTCAGGTTTTACTTCTTCATAGGGAACACGGCCCTGCTGGCGGCTAACCTGCTGTTTGAGATGCTGTGTGCTCTCCCCAAAGTGACAACCGTCTGAGTCTCGTGCTCTTCAAGACAAAACAGATTGCATCGCTGACAAGTTCTCAAGAAGAACTTATGAGTAAGCAGTCTGAGAACTCACGAGTTTATGCCAAGAAAACTTTCTGCTGAACGTGTCATTGCTGGCTGTGAAATTGGGACATTCAGTAGAACTCTCACCCAAACAGCAACATTTCTAAGGAATTTGGATTAATTTAAAAAAAAGAGGTATTTTACTGGTTTGATTTTTTTTTTTTTTTTGTTTGATGAAAGATGGAGGAAAATAACAAAAACAAAATAGAAAAAAAAGATGGAGGATAAAGGGGAAGAGATGGAGAATTACATTCAAGGTTATCTAAGTATTAGAAACATGAAATTTAAAAAAACCTAATGAATACTGTATAAGCATTCCATATTTCTATAGTATCTTTCTTCCTTTTTTTTTTTTTTTTTTTTTTTTTT